TCTTTCCTCTGTTTTACTGACAAAAATCAAGACTGGCTGCACATGAAAAACTCCTGACTGCTCTGTGGTCTCTGCTTTTTGCCCAGTAGCACAAACACTAGCCAAATGTGGAGTTTTTTATTAACTAGCCTATATTTGCAAATTATGAGGCTTCTCATCTGTTGCAAGAGATCACAGTGCCAGAGCCTTGAATGGACAAACAGACCAGAAACCAGGGAGCAAAAAGTGAGTCTGCTGCACAGTGCGGGCACAAAGTGCTCATTCGATTCTTGGAAGGATTAAATGGGCTCATAAAATAGCCCCATTCAGACAGCAGCATTTGCAAGCACTGACATCTTAGCTTAACAAGGTTCTTCAGCAGTTTGAGAAAGCAGTTTTACATGCTGCTCTAAAGAGATTTAAACTGCCATAATTCATGTTCATACCTCTAACCATGAAAGGATGAAGGAAAAGTTTATTGCAGTTATGTACTGCAATATGATCTCCTCACAGCTCTTTTTTAAAGGATGGCTTTAAAGGTTTAGGAACCAGAAAGCTATTTGGACACGTTGTGGGACATCTGGAGACAGCGAGATTGTGCTCTCAGAAGATAAGGCTCAGTGAATCACTATTTGCCCAGTCCTGAAACCCAGGGCTGAGCCCAGAGCTTAGCAAAACCAAATATGAAATCTGGGGCATGGACAAAACCCATCCTGTTAGCTTGCTGGAGGCCTGCAGAGGTTTGACTAACCTCATTAATGGTGAGCGTGCATATGCTTAGGCCTGCACCTGGCTGGCACAGAACTGTGTGCCATAAGTGACTTTGGAAATGTCCTTAGAAAGCAGAGCATGAGAGATGCTAAGTGTTTTTATGGTACAATGTCACACTACAAGTGGAGGTGTGGCACTGTGAAGACATGCATGTGGTTACACAGCTCTCCTGCTTTGTTCAAGGCTATGTCCTTGATAAAAGACACACCAAAAACCTCTGGTATCTCTGTATGCTGGTCCCACCACAGGACCAGTCCCAGGGCTATGTGGATCTGGACCTGGAGTGTAGATGCTCCCTACATCCTGTGCTACATCTAAGCGCTGGGGAACAGTCTGCAGGCAGAATGCACAGCAAAACCTCTGCCTTGAACATCTTTATGTATTAAGGCCCTCCAATGTTTAAAATTGGGATGATTAATTGTCTAATCATGAATTCTGTTGGAAATGTGTCATTTTCATTCTTGCAGCGTGCAGGGACCAAATGCTTCCCGTGACAATTGCTTCTGAAAAGCTACAGTGCTGTCACTGTCACCCTGCCCCAAGTCAGTAAGAGAACAGCTGGGGACTCAAGCAGGACTGAAGGAGCCTCATGCTGTAC